TACTGTTCTTTTGGAGTGGACTATTAATGCCTGTCATGATGAATAAGTCTTTAAAACATAATTTCTTTAGGGGCATTTCCTATTATAGTCCTGCAGCTGCAACCGTGTCTCATAGGCATGTAGGAGGCCCTTAAACATTTTTGATAACCTCTTAGCTGGCTTAGTGACTTGTTAGTGGGATTTTGTAGGCACAGGCTAGATTAGTAGTTCATAACTGTTTTTCTACTCCAACATATTCATGGGTTACACCTTGCTACCACTGTTACTGTGATCTAATTACAGTAGGAGCTGGTGTTAGGGAAGGGAGTGTATCTCAAAATCACTGGGGCAGTTGGAGGTGTCCCCAGCTGTGATTATTGGTCTGCTTCCTTCAGAATCAGTGAGTGAAGTATAACATGCCCCAGCCCCAAAAGTTATTTTGTCTGTACTTTGCAGTAGGAGGGGTAGTGATGATCATATTTTCATTGAATAACTGTACCAATTAAGAGAGGACATAATGTTAAAAAGATATATATTTTTAACATTAAGTATCAGGTTATAAAAAAAGTATTAGGTTGTTTTGGTCTCCTTTTAGCTTGTTCAGTGAGTTTTGTGCATGATATTCCATAAAGTAACCTTACAGATTGCTTCTGTATCTAAAAGTTCTTCTCTTTTCTCTTACAGCCGGATGCGCAGTGATGGTTTTGATGAAGAAAGTCAAAGAGATTACTGGAGGCCAAAGAATGAAATTTGTGGAGCACTGGATGATGGTTTTCTTAAGGCTAAATCCTGGAACAAGAAGTTATATGATTATGAAGCTAACATGCCAGACAGGTCTGTGACTAAATTCTTACGACCATTAGTGATATTTGGCCTGAGAATGTGTACTTTTAAAAATTATCCCCACAAAAACTTATTACAGAAATGTTCATAGCATACTCATAATAGCCAAAAAAGTGGAAACCCAAATGTCTGTCAGTTAAAGAATGGATAAACAAGATGTGGTATATGGAATGGTAATGGAATGTTATTTGCAGTAAATGGAATAAAGTACTGTTACCTGCTAGAACATGGATGAACCTTGAAAACCTTGTGCTAGGTGAGTGAGGAAAGTCAGACACAAAAGGCCACTTATTATATGATTCTATAGAGATAGAAAGTAGATTAGTGGTTGCCATGGGCTGTAGGAGATGGAGGAATGGAGTAACTGCTGATGGATTTTTATTTGTGGGGTGATGAAAATATTCTAAAATCATAGTGGTGATTCAGAGTTGCACAACTCTGAATATGCTAAAAGCCACTAAATCGTACACTGTAAATGGGTGAATTTTATGGTATACGAATTATACCTCAATTAACTTATTTAAAAAAGTTGTCCCATGGTAGACAGCATTATGTTATGAAGTGCTTTTGGAGACATATTTCACAGCTGAAAAGCAGAGTATTAAGAGTTCCTCAATGTTTTAAGGAAGAGAATGGCAAGTTTTCTTACAAATGGATAAAGGAATCCTTTATTTCTGAAATGAGAGTGTATAGTATGGAAAATGTAACCAAGTTACTGATCTATAAATGTGGTGTTGGCTCTTCCATATCTTTTTTTTGTTCTGTGTGTGTCTGTGTATGTATACACTCGTAAGTCTATAATTTGTCTTAGTTTTAAGAAATGTATGCATTGCTTTAATAATATGTATAATAAAACGTTATCTTACAGATGGGGCCACAGTGGATATAAAGAGTTATACCCTGAAGAATTTGAAACAGACAGGTAAGGCAAGTAGGCTTACTGGAAAAAAGATAGAAACTAAGATTAGTACAGTCTAAATTATAAATGAAATTCCTAATTTATTATGAAGTATATGACATTTGCCATTAAAAATGTAACCAGAGAAATAATAGGCAGTTTAGTTGGGAGAGGATGAGATATTTTGCCTTTCCCTGACTGACATTTGGCGTATCTATAGCATGTAGGTTTTATATACAGTTTTCCTATATAGTAACTCAGTATGGCAGATAAGAATTTTTATCTTCATTTTATAAATGAGGAAACAAAACTCAGTGATAAAGTCTCATGGTACGCTTATATCAAAGCTTTGATTTAAAATTCAGATGTTAACCCCAACTTCCCATCTAGAAAGCAGAATATAAAAACTATATAAATACACTTTATATTTTCTACAGTAATGCAGTTTTTCTTTTTTATTAGTAGTGATCAGCAAGATATTACCAATGGGAAAAAAACATCTCCCCAGGTAAAATCATCTACCCATGAATCTCACAAACACAAGAAGTCAAAGAAGTCCCACAAAAAAAAGCAGAAAAAAAAGTCACACAAAAAACAGAAGAAGAGCAAAAAGGAAGCCACAGATATAACAGCAGATTCCTCAAGCGAGTTCTCAGAAGAAACTGGGGCTTCTAGTACCAGGAAAAGGAAGCAACCACATAAACGCAAGAAAAAGTCCAGGAAAAAGTCTCTCAAGAAATCTCCTTTATTCTTAGAGGCAGAAAGTGACACTTCCCCATCAGATGATTCTGCATCCAGCAGTTCTGAGGAAAGTGAGGAAAGAGACACTAAGAAAACCAAAAGGAAAAAGAGAGAGAAAAAAGCTCATATCCCTGTAGTTAACAATGAAACACAGGAGAGGACAAACAAACGCACAAATTGGAAAGTGGCTACAGATGAAAGATCTGCCGAGAGTTCAGAGGATGACTAAATGAGAAAGCATTCTTGTTTTCTGCATGACTGGATATTTACAGTTCTTACGCCTTGGGGTTTGCCAGTGATGCTACTGCTCAGCACAGGGCCTGAGGTTAGAGCTGTCCTGTGCCATCTATATATGTTCTGACAGACGTCTTGTCTATTTTGGCCTGTTAAACTTGATCCTCTTATTGTTAATAGGGAATCTGTTATTTTGTTATGAAGGTTTCTTGAAGAGATTATTTTTTGTGATTAATGACATTTAGGGTAGAGTGTATATGCAGCAAATTAAAGGACCCAGAAAACAATCCAGTAAAGACCTGGGTATATCAGTTGCAGTGTTCAATTTGGGGAAAGCAAGGGCTGGGGTCAAGAGATGGATTGAGCTAGTGCTATATAGAATGGTATGATGAGGGAATATCGTGTTGCTCTTGTCTGTTATATAATAGGTGCCACAACTTGACTGTCTTTAGCCTTGGTGCTTTGATCTTTTCTGTATTTTGGCCCCATCAGATGTGGTCCAGTTTACATAATAAGGAAATGAGCATAAGAACATTTTTAATTCATGATAACATCCTGAGAGAGCTGTTATTGGTAGAAACTAGGGGTTTTTGTCAAATTTCCCTGCTGGACAGGGTCTGTGGCTATACTCAGTATACCCCTAAAAATGGGTAATTGGATAGTAAAAGGTTTTCCAGTTCCACTGTTTATTACCTAAATGCACTTGTATTCAAAATTATTTCTTCAGATGTCTTGGTAAATCCTCAACCAAATGAAGAATTAGGCATCAGTTATGCTATCTCATCGTGTGCTGAAAAGGATTCAGGGCAGTAACAGCCATTTAAATGTTGTCTTCCTTGTGCATTTCTTAGTTAATGTACTTGTAGATTTCCCTTGAAACTAGGTTGAATCGATTCCAAAATGAAGTAGGCTTCTCAGGGACATATCCATTTCTTCCTAGTCTGCCTTTGGATTAAAGCGCCAAGCAGAGATCTTGTTATTTCCCTTTGCTATATACGGTGATCCTACTACATTAATTCTTAAGAAACCAAACTCGCTGGAAGAAAGCTGGCAGAACACAAATTAATTATATTTACTATGGCAGATCAAGTGACATTGTTTTTTCCTGGCTGTCACTTCATGGGCTGAGTAAAAATCTTGAAAGCTCAGACTTTCGGTCTTGGTTCTGCCATTAATTGGTTATGAGGTTTGGAGCAGGTAAGTCAACCTCCCTGGCCTTACTTTCCCCATGTCTAATACAGAAATACTTCATGGTAGCCTGACAGTGTGTGACACCAGCAATAGACTGTGACAACATTCCATAAGGTGGTAATATTTTGTAGCTCTGAACTATTAAATTGTTCTCTTTACAGAACAGATTTCTAATAAAATGCTTAGTCATAAACAGTTGGCCAGAGGTTCCCTAGCCCTTGACTCTAAGCAGGTGCTACCTTTTGGGATATTTATTTGAAATATTAGTACTTTGGTACTCAACTGCTGATGTTCCATGGTGCATATTTTTAACATTGAGATTAAGGGCCCAAGTAGGGAAAAACAGTCTATAATTACTACCTCTTAACCTAAAGCATTTGTTTTCTTCTTGGAGCAAGTGAAATCTTTGTGGGAAGGAGTTTTCAGCTCCTGGGTTTTTTTTTTTTAAGCATTGTTTCTGTGCTCTAAAAGTTTTGATTCTAAGCACAGACTCAGGAAGATGGGCCAGTGGAACAAGGCTTCTCCAGGAAGTTGATTCTGTCTGGGTCTTGACTTTCTCTTCCTCTCATACTAGCAGGCCTCTTTGCCAGTGAACACACATCTTGCCTGTTTTGTTTTTTGCCATGTTTACCTTTTCTTGGTCATGTATAAGCAATAAAGCTGTTTTCTGTTCTTCACCTTTCTCAACCCCAAATTCTCTTTGATGCCTTAAGGCTAAGGCTTTTGATGGTTCTTCCCACCCCCTTAAATATGGCTTAGGATGGCTCTTTAAAACCTAAGAGCTCTCATTTGCACGACTAGTGGCCTTGGAACATACTTATTTCTAATGTTCCTACCAATCAGAGATCTATATATAAATCCCAAAATGGGGTTTTAAAAAAAAGAGTTGGAGAATTCACATTTATTGAATAAATTGTTGTGATACAAGATGGAATTTCTGAATTCCCAATAAATAAATTTAATTTTTGAACATTTGATCTGTTACTTTTTAGCACCAACAGGCTTGGTAACAGCCTGAAGTTAACCTGACAGAGGGCTGACAACCTTCCCCCACTGGCCCTTCAGTCTGCTTAATAAGTCCTTTGCTGCTTGTGTCATTCTTCCAGGGGATGGCTTACTGCCCTCCTTTCTGTACAATCTGGGCAAACCGACTGGTGATAGCAAGAGTAGTGTCAATGAAGCGGTCCACACAGCTAGAGAGACAATTTTCAGTGCGAGAGTCTAAGCGATTCCCTGGCTTCTCCACACATTTATCCCAACATAGCTCCATGAAGTGATGCACCTAAGAGGAAAGAAAAAAAATAACTACTTGAGGTCTGCTGACAGGCTTTATCTCTGAATTTCCTTCCCATTTTTCTCATTTTCTGTCACCTGACTAAACCATTCTTTGACTCTTTCCTCACTTCCTAATTTGTCACCAATAGAGTCCAACTCTTCATTCCTACCCTGCAACAATACTTTCATCCTTTCCTTGTCTATTTTTCTCCTCCTCAGTAACTGAAAAATAGGTACTTTTGATCAAGTTACCCCAGTGCTGGGCCTAATGCATGTTTCTTTGTCAGTCACTCAGGGCACTCCCTTATTTAACACCCCACCAATGTGTTTCAATGCGGTAGGTTCACACACAGCATACTTAACTGGGCCCTCAATACTCCTCCCTGAAGGTTTTTCCAGTTTATTATCACCTCCTTGAGAGCACCATTATTTTCTGTGTCACGTCCTTAATCAGATTGTAAAACTGCAGGCAGAATTGATAACTTATTTCCAAACTAACACCAATGTAAGCTGGGAAAGCTATGGTACCAATTAATTCCCCCAAACCACTGCACTCATCTCATTCTAAGCCTATTCCTTAGCAGTTCTTAAGTTAACCTTTTGGGGGTCAGGGACATATGTTGAGAATCCAATGAAGGTTATGGACCCAATCTAAAGAAAAATGCTCACAGAAAATGTGTGTACTTTAAAAATGTTCAGGATCCAAAGATTTCCAACCAGGGTTCTCACCACTTATCTTCCGAGAGCCCTCCCCTTCCCACCACCTCCACTCCCCGCGGGGAGTAACCATTTACCAAGGGCTTAACTATTTCGGGAGGCTGGGGTACTAAGTAGTACGTCAATTCTTTTTGAGGTCCTAAAGAATGACTGTCACCTCCATTTAAGAAGCACGGTAAGTAACAAGTCCAAAATCATGCAGTTAGTAAAGGTAAACGCCGGGGCTGGAACCATGCTCCGAAGCTCCTGTTTTAATCTAATAGTCTAGACTGACTACTTCAGGGCCCACTTTCATCCAGTAATGCTCTACTACTCTATTGTTTTCAAATACATTATTATCGACATCCTGTGAGACAACAGGCGACTATGAAACCAAGACCTAACGGTGGATGGGTGTTGTGTTTAGGGGCACGTGGCCTGTAGGGGACAGAGCAGTATGAGAAGCTGGGTCCTCCCAAGGCCAGCCTAGAGAGCTCGCCACCAAACTAGGCTTCCGTGCACTTGGGTCGCCCGAACCTTTTTGCTTCGCTTTACACCTTCTCTTTCCCCTACGCTATGCTCACAGGGCACCTGAGCACTGCAGGTCACCAGTGGCAGAAGTGACTCGTTTCTTTAGTGAGCAGAACCACGCGCAGCAAGCACGGAGTGGCGGGCGGCTGTCCCGCGCCGCCAGCGTTCAGAGCTCCGCGAGTGCCCGGGACTTGTACTTCATCCTCCTTTCTCTTCACACTAGTCCCCGTCCCCGCACCTGTGCAGTGAACTGCGCTTTCTGCTGTTCGGCCGCCACCAGGCGTTGCAACTCGGCTTCGTCCGGCTCACCCAGCTCCGCCATCTTCTGTGTCCGGTTACCGACCTTCCGAAGAGTTATCTGCGCATGTGCGGCGGGCCCGCCGACCCCGACTTCCGGTTCACGCGGAGTTTTCCTTTTCCATGTTTTCTTCCGTCCTCGCGGGCGGATGTTGTCGTGTGACTGCTTCCGGGTTGCTGGTTGACCTTGAACCTTCAGGAGAGACATGGCGACTCTCTGGAGGCTGAGTGTCCTTTGCGGCGCCAGAGAAGGGCGAGGTGAGGGCAGCCGGAGGTTCTTAGCACAGCCTCCAGCCGGGGAAAGGGATGCGGTTAGGATTCATCTGCTGGGCGGTGAGACCTTTTGAACAGGGGGTCAGTCCCTCCTTTCCTTTGGCACAGCATGACTAGCGTTGTCTTCGGGTCTAGATGTCCGCCGGAGTGCATATTTCCCCTGCTCTGGGCTGACATGGTGATGGGGTAGTCTGAAAGTTATAGTCCTGCTGCGGCTGTGTTCACGAGTTGTCTTTTTCTCCGCATTCCCTGTCTTTGGAATGTTCCCACCCTGAATCAGAAAAGAGTGTCAGTGTCTAAGTCCCAATTTACCTATTGGTCGTTTCCCTTGGAGTTCACTTCGATAATCATTTAAGGGGGCATTTGTGTTATACAAGGTACTGTAGTATGATGGGTTAAAAATGTGAGAAAGCGTAGTTCCAACCCTTAAAGAGTTTCCATTTTTACAGGAAAAACTCATATAAGCATAATATGACATGAAGCAGAAACTGCAGCACAGTATCTAAGTTGTATGCCAATCCAGAAGACTATACTAGCTCTGTGTTTTGGAAGGATTATCCTGTCTCACTTCCTGAAGGAGCTGTACCTGATTGAGTCTTGAGGGTAAGGAAGGCCACAGGAAGAAGGGCATTACAGTTAGAGCTAGTGGGATGAGCAGAAGCAATGATGAAAGACATAGAAACTGCTTTTTGTGAGAGAAGACAAATTGGATATTAGAACATGAAGCTCAAGGTGAGGAATGAGTTGGTTTTGGAAAAGTGAACTGAAGTCAAATCTCAGAAAAATTTGTCTTGATGTGGAATATGCATTTTTCTTTGTGTGAAGGGGAGCTGGTGAAAGATTTGACATAGATTTGCAGTTAAATTTACCACCTTGGTAACTGTGTGATATTGACGGCCATTATGGGAGACGGGACAAGCTAAGACCCAAGTTAGGAGATGAATTGAGACACTTATTGTAGTAGTCTAGGCAGGCATGGTGAGCTCCTGAACTTGAAAAGTAATACGTAAGAGAAGATTGTCTCAAGAAATGCTAAGGAGTTATATCAGTATGGTTTGGTATTTGGCTTCTAAATTCAAGAAGGGAAGTCTTACATGATTTCCAGATTTCTGGTTTAGGTTGAAGAGTGACTGGGATATCATTAAATAAAAGGAGGAACATGCAAATGAGAGGCAAGTTTGAATGAGAAAGCGAGTTGAAGGGTGATTTTAGTTTTTGCCATAGTGAGTTTGAGGACCAGGTGGGGTACCTCAGGGGAGAGAGCTTGCAGGTTCTCGAACTTCCAGAATTCTGGCGAGAGATCAGGCCTTGTGGTACAGAGTTGAGTGTCACCAACCTAAAGGCTCTAGAAGTTGAGTAGACAAAATGTCTAGGGGTGGGCCTAGGCAGCAAGGAGAGCAAAGGGCAGATGATAGACTCCTGGGTGAGCATTTAAGAGCAGATGCCGGAGGAGACTGATATATAATGATCAGAGAATCAAAGGGAGAAGCTGAAGAGAGTTCTGTCAGAGAAAAGAAGGGAGAAGCGGGCACCAGTGCCTCATGGTGCAGAAAGGCCCAATAAGTTGAAGACTGTTGGATGTGGCTACATGAGAACATTGGTGATTCATGAAGGCAGCTTTGTGGAGATAAGGACAAGTTGCAGGCCGTGAAGAATTTTAGGGAAGTGAGGAAGTCAACGTGATTTAGACAACACTTTAAAGAAGCATGTTTAGAAAGAGAAGAAAGGAGGGGAAGAGTGCATGGGCATTACAGGACATAGGATGAAGGGAGGGGTTAAGTATATTACATCAGTTGAGGGAAAATGGTCAGTAGGAAGAAAGGAGGGGTTAAAGATACAGGAGAGAAATTATCTTTTATTGAGTGCTTATAACATTGTGGGACTTAGGCTGAACATCTTACGTGTATTATATAATTTTCAGCGGAGTATTATGAAGTAAGTACCAATGTTTTCATTTTACAAATGAGGACATTGAGTCTTGGATAGCCTATTTAACTTAATTGCCCATTATCTCATAGCTGGTATTGATAGGCTTGGGTGTTCTTAGGTCTGCCTAGTTTTCAACCAAGAGACAAGATCTATAAGAGGACAGAAAGGGATGAGTTCAAGAGTGCAAGCACAGAAATTGATCTTGAAAAAGAAAGTGGTATTTCCCAAGTTAGGCTGAATTACTTGAAGACAAAGACTTTGTCTTTATCTCTCTTGCTGTTGTGCAGAGCATAATTTTGTGTATAGTAAAAGTTTGTTGGATGAGTAGATGAATGAGAGGATAAAAGAGCCATAATTAATTTTTAAGAATTGGTCAGAGTGAAGCCCTTTTTGCAGAAGTGCTCATTGATGTATCTTTCCATGGCTGCTTAGTCTAGTCTCACAGCAAGCCAGTGAAGTAGATGCTGTCCACATTTTACAGATTAAATGGTTATTCCCTCTTTGGGGTTAAGTAGCTTACCTGTGGGTCTTCCTTGGTGGCTCAGTGGTAAAGAATTGGCCTGCAATGCAGGAGACCTGGGTTCAATCCCTGGGTTGGCAAGATCCCCTGGAGGAGGGCATGGCAATGAGAATCCCATGGACAGAGGAGTCTGGCAGGCTGCAGTCCATAGGGTCACATGGAGTCAGCCATGACTGAAGCAGTTGAGCAGCAGCAGCAGCTTATCTCTGGTCATTTAGAAAGTCTCAATCCCATTACAGGGAAGGTGCTTATGATTCCCTTGATGTCTCTTTGCTCAGCTCTGTTCCTCCGAACCCCAGTGGTCAGACCAGCTCTTGTCTCAGCATTTCTCCAGGACCGACCTGCCCAAGGATGGTGTGGAACACAGCATATTCACCTGTCACCCAGCCACCATGGTATGTGCCTTTGTCTGGGCCGATTATCATGTCTTTGGCAGGGCTTGCTCTCTCTGAGGGGAACTCTTTGTGTACAGCTCTGTCGAGTGAAGACCTAGTCTACACTTCTGGGCACACAATGCCAGCATGGTTGAATAATGCCATTTCCACTTATACAGAACCTTCAGGTCTAAGTCTTTAAAAAATTTTTAAGTTTCTTAAAAGAAAATAGCTCTGAAGGGGGAATTTGTTCAATGTAGTTTAGTTACCTTTATTTATTGGAGAGGAGCCAGATCTGAATAATTTAGAATAGCAGACAATTTTAAAAATCTTGCATATTTATAGCTATAATAACATGCTTGTTTTTATTTAGGTTGCTATTAAAATCATGTTATTTCTTGGATGAATACTATTTAGGTATTATTAAGTCTTAGAAAATCCATAAGTGAATAATGAGGTAACTATTTTCATTTTTAAAGTCTGGAAACATCAGTATTTTATAGAGATAAAGACTTTTGGTTCTTAAGTCTGTCACTTGAAAGCCACATCTGAGTTAGGAATAATTAAGCAAGTGTAGTTTTTCTGCTATTTAGAATTATTTTATCTTTGAAAAGGTTTTGTTGGTGAACTTTGCTTTGTTCAATTAGATTTAGTAGAGCGATTTTAACTTGTGGTGCATGGGACCAAAGGGAAGTCCTCAAGGTTGTGTACATAGTTTGTAACATGTGTATCTATGTGCATTTTTCCAGGAAGTAACTCCATCATTAATAAAACATTCCCAAAGGGGTATGTAACCGCCGCGCCCCCCCCCCCAAAAAAAAGAGGCTTTCAGAGAGATGTTTAAAGCCCATTTTATTTTTACTTGTTTAAAAGAAAGTTTCATGTTCCTTCTCTGTATTGGGCTATTTATAAGTAACAGAACAGAAGAAGAACCATGATCTTAAAAGTTGACATTAGAACTGTGCTTCTCTTTGAATTGACAGGCTTAATTTTCTTTCGGGAGGATTTTTAATATTACTTAGAAAGATTAGGTGTAAATAAGATTGATGTTTTAAAGGAATTCCTCAGGTGGTACCTGAGGTATCTATATCTGTCTATTACAGTGAAGTCCAAGGTTGGTAATTCTGCATAGACATTTCATCCATTTTCTTGCCTCTAAGCAGAGTGGATCTCTATTACTATATGTAGGCTTTGAGAAACCCTATGCTGAAAGACTTCAGAGAAGGGAGATTGCATCTTTCTCATTTACCTCCTTTCTCTTACCCACTTTATGCTCAGAGTTAAATCTTAAATGCATACTGTTTGCTGTTCTGTTAGTTTGGGTTAGTTTGTGGGAAATACTGAGATGTGTATTTCCACTGAAACTCTTTGGAATCTCGTCCTTCCTTTCTATAGCTGGTTCCAAGGCTGCATCTCTTCACTGGACTGGTGAGAGGGTTGTCAGTGTTTTGCTCCTGGGCCTAATTCCAGCTGCTTATTTGAACCCTTGTTCTGCGATGGACTACTCTCTGGCTGCAACCCTCACTCTTCACAGTCACTGGCAAGTACAGCAATCCTTTAAATATTACCTTGTCTGTGCAGTTTATTTGCTGTGAGCTTATCTCACAGTTGCATATGAGGGAGAAGTTGCCCAAAATACTGAAGATCTGAAGAGAACAATAAAACACATGTAAACTATTTATATGCCCAAATTTGTGTATCCACGTGCCTATTAGATGTCTTCCTTTTCATATCTGAGAGGCTTTTGAACTTAGCATTGCTTTTGAGAGTTGCCCGTTTTATGTGGTTTGGTAAGGACAATATGCTATCATGGGTGGGGAGGTGTTTTTTGGATTGTTAGAACTGAAAGGACTTGAGGGAGTATCTTAGCCAACCCTGTTATTTAACCACTGTGGAAACTAAATCCCAGGGACGTTAAATAATTTGTCA